CTCCCCTCACGCAGTCCATTCAATTTAACACAGCTCATTATTTACAAGGGCCTGTTTTATGAAACCCGTATTATGGACAAGGGCCTGTTCTACGGACAAAAGACCAATTAATATCCCCCCATCCTCCCAGTCTCTCCGTTCCTGATATATTGAGGCCTATTTCTCTGGGTATGTTTTTGAACAGTTCACCATTTTAACAATTTGAAGCTAGGCTAACTTGAAGGCCCCTATATGATTTATGCTGTGCATTCTTTATTTAAACTAAAAATGAGACTATGACGATAAGGACAATCCACATGTTCTGATCTCCACGTAAATAAGCAGCTGAGCCTTTTAACGAATGCTGTTAGTATTTCATGATGAAGGGAAGGATAAAATATGGGTTCTAACTAGTGGCTGGCTGGAGTTCCTCTGTTGTAGCACTACAGAATGTGTGATGTGGATTTAATAAACATAAAATTCAGCATTAAAACAGCCCAAAGCTGTGAGTCGACCATCAGTGAGGAGTGCAAACACAGCCAGACTGTGGTCGCCACATTAATCACTGTATTAATCACCACACCGAGATGCTCCTGGACCCTGAATGCGCGTGGTGTGTTCTCTGATGGGCTTTCTTAAATAAATGAAAGCCCTGATGTTTTTTGCTTGAGCTCTTTTGCTTGATTGGCCACCGGCTCCCATTTTCCAGCCCGAACCCAAAGAGAGGAGGCTGAATGAAAAGCGGCAGAGGCCTCATTAATGTCTGCTGATCTCTTTTTGTTTCCTATTTATTTGTTTACTTATTGTTTTAATTGTCCGCTTTGCTTCCTGCGTCTCGGTCTAACGCAATTATTTCCGGTTCCGCCCGGGCAGCGCGGCCAATAAGGCGCCCCGCCTTAATTACATTATTAATACAATTAAGAGGGAGGAAAATAAATCAATAAATAAATAAATAAACAAATAAGGGGGAAAGAAACACGAAGCACGGAAGACACTTTAGGCGACACCAGGCAGGGAAATTGGTCTGAATTGTTTTCCGTCTGAGGAGAGCGCGAGCTCTGTTTTGCATCCCCCAAAAAATCAAATGCAAATTCTAAATGCGTGAAGGCTTTTATTTTGGATATTTTGGAAGAATTAATCGTTAATTAATTAATTGTTTTTTTTTATCGTTCTAATTTTGTTTATTATTTTAAAATTTTGGTTTAAATGCATTTATTCAATCACGTTCGTTTAAAAATGATTGATGATAAAAATAAAAAACAAAAATGATAATAATAATAAAAATGAATAAAATAATAATCACATAGGATACATAAATAAATATAGAATTTACGCAGGCCTACGTACGTCATCAAAGCAACTGTATTCATGTTTTAAGAAAATTTGTGAGAAAATATACAATTATTATTATTATTATTACTGTTATTATTATTATTATTATTTTGTACACATTAAGATACAACAACAATAATAATAATAATAATAATAATCTGTGTATTGCTATATTGTTAAATATTAACTGTAATAACAGTCAATAGTGCACAATACAGAATAAATTGTTTATGAATAATTATCTTTTTAGTGACTCCACTCAGCCTTTACAACGAATATTATAAATAAATAAATAAATACAGGACCGACAAAACTAAGGCTGAAATGAACAGGACATTATTATTATTATTATTATTATTATTATTATTATTATTATTATTATTATTTGTTTTATTTATGCCTATTTTACTTTCTCTAACAGTCCACACAAAACACCAGCCCTCCTCACCCTTCTCAACACATTTTTTTTTCCTTTCAGGAGAAAATAAGTAATGTAGTTACTGTAGCTCAATAGGATTAATCACAATCATTTAAAGTCAAACTGGAAGATGTTAAACTCCAGTTTAAAATTCCTTGAATCAAGCGGTCAGTAAGCTAATGCATCACCAGCACTGATGCATTTTCCATGCTGGCAAATTGACCTAAAGACCTTTATGTGTGTGAGAAGCCCACCAGCACCATCTGAAGACTGTGCGTCTTTGAAAAGGCTCAGCATAATGTGGGGCAGTGCTGACTTGTCCATTGCTTTGAGGCGATAGGTGAGAAATAAACTGGCACCGTTTTAAGGCCAAAGGCCAACGGGGCTTAACAGAGCTTACAGAGGAATGAAAGAGCAGGAGGAACACGGTGCTGTGGGTCACAGCGCTATGGGGGGAGGCAGAGAGAGGAAATGGTGGACATTGTTGTAAGCTTGATGTAAGACATGCTGTGGCCTTTGAGCTTAAAGCAGCGAAGTGGGTGGACTGAGTGGACTACAGCAAAACCAAAATCACACCCAGTACAGCAGAGCGTCCGGTGATAATGTTGCATTGGGTGCCATCATCACATCTGGTTCCCCAAGTCCATTTTGGCACCACCACTGCATCCGGGACCGCCATCCCATTCAGCACCATCTTTGCATCTACCACCATTACAATTTTTACGGTAATCACATCTGGTGCCACCTTCACATTTGGTGCTGTAATCACATCGAGGAGCACCATCACATCTGGTAGCATCTTTACAATCACATCCAGTTGATTAGATAACATTGCATCCAGCACCACAATCATAAACCACTGTACGTGGTACGACCATTGCATTCAGTACTACTATAATACTGTAGTTGCACCATTGTAATCCAGCACCACCCTCACAAAATTGCACCACCAACATAACCAGATAATACCAGCTCAGTCTGGTACCACCATCACAATCCAGTACCACCACAATGATCACCATCCCAGTTTGGTCCAACATCATCGTGTGGCACCACCATCTCAATCTGGTACCATCATTCCAATTTGGTACCACCATTTCAGTCTGGTACCTTATAGTATACTCAACCTGGTACCACCATCATAAACTGATACCATCATCTGAATCTGGTACCACCTTCACAGTCAGGTACCACCATTCTAATGTGGTACCACCTTCACAGTCTGGTACCGCCATCACAATCTGGTACCACCACTCTAAAGTGGTACTACCATCACAATCTGGTACCACCATTCTAAAGTGGTACCACCCTTTCACATTCTGATACCACCATCCACAATCTGGAACCACCATTCTCATATCTGATACCATCTTCATAATCTGGTACCGCCATCACAATCTGGTACCACATTTCACAATCTAGTACCATCATCACAATCTGGTACCACCATTTCGAAGTGATACCACCAACACAAACTGGAGCCACCTTTCTAAAGTGCTCCCACCACTATAATCTGGTAACACCATTCTAATGTGGTATTACCTTCATAATCTGGTAACACCGTTCTAATGTGGTACTACCTTCATAATCTGGTAACACCATTCTAATGTGGTATTACCTTCATAATCTGGTAACACCATTCTAATGTGGTATTACCTTCATAATCTGGTATAACCGTTCTAATGTGGTACTACCTTCATAATCTGGTAACACCATTCTAATGTGGTACTACCTTCATAATCTGGTAACACCATTCTAATGTGGTACTACCTTCATAATCTGGTAACACCGTTCTAATGTGGTATTACCTTCATAATCTGGTAACACCATTCTAATGTGGTACTACTTTTATAATTTGGTAAAACCATTCTAATGTGGTACCACTTTTACAGTCTGGTACCGCCAACACAATCTGGTACCACCATTCTAATGTGGCACAACCTCCAAAATCTGGTTTTCACCATATTAACCCGACGCAACTCTCCACCATTCCAATCTGGAACCACCTTCACAATCTGGCACTGCTGTAACAATCCCACTCCAGCACCACTGGATCTGGTAAAGCTCTTGTGTACAGTTTTACCATCCTGAACTGATACCACCAAGACGATCCGGCACCATGATCATAGTCGGCTGGCACCATCACAACCAGTGCGACCACCTCTTGGGGTCAGTTGCAGAAACACTGCAATCCCCACCACATTCTGGGAGTGAGGTCGCCTCGTTTCTCTGCAGATCTCGGCGCTGCCCTCGGGAACAAGCCGACACGGTGGTGTAACATTCAGACCTGTGGTGATTCATCAGCTGAAATTCCTGCGCCGCGCTCCCGCCTCGCTCCGTCCTGCCTCTAAACTCGTGTAATTAAATAATTGACCCCGGGCTCCTATTATCTGCTCTGACCCACACGGCCTGCGTCATTTTAAACCAATATAATCTGAAGCTTCATTATTCTGCCTTTCAGCCTCCGTCAATGGAGCAAGCCATTAAGAGGGGCGCGATTAGAGGGGGGCAAAAACATTTGTTGTTTTTCTTTTTTCCGCCCGACGAGGACAGAGGTCAGGGCACACGGTGGAGTTCTTACACACGCGCACGCGCGCGCACATAAAAATAGGAATAATGGAAAAAAAGCAGAGAGATGGATTTAATAATATATAACAACGAACATAAGAATAACATGAAGATATATATTTGTACTCTATTTGTAAAATGTGAAGAAAGTGAAAGAGTGAACGAATTTTAGTTTGTTTTTATTTCTCCAGCTCGAGCGGAGAAGAGGAGACGAGGTTTAAAGAGCAGTTTGAAATACAGATTATTAGAAATGGCGATTTTGGAAATTTAGACATTTTTAATTTGTAAAATAAATACAAATGATAAGTATAATAAACAAGACGTTTATGTGAGGCATATTTATAAGAGCCACGTTTCTTTTCTTCCTGAGTGAAAAAAGCAGAAGAAACAAACACAGAAGCCACCTGTGAGTTAAACAGTCTGACTGAACGAATATGGTTCGAATAGGTCTCGGATTTTGACGAATAATAGTGAGTTATTTTGTAGACAGTCCCGAGGTCTGAGAGAGCGCCAGTGAACACGCCTCTATTTTCCATACTTTTTTTCATACTGAAAGCAAATAAGTACAACTATAATCACAAATTATATCATTAGCTTTAAAATTCGAGTGAAAAATCGAATCTTCGAAATATTTGATGCGAATTTCTGAATTTCCTAGAGGTATTTGGTCCGTCTTTTGTTTTTCTGGCGGGCAGAACAAACA